GAACTGGATGATCTTTAAGGTCCCTTCCAACCCAAACCATCCTGTGATTCTGTGTCACTGAAATTGCACGTGGGAAGATGATCAGAAAACAAGTAGCTCCTGTGGAACAAACAGAAAAACGTTTTGAGCTTTGCACTGGAATATTTTCAGAGGATGTTGCCTGTGTGAAAGTGTAACTGACCTCATGTTGTGTGTCTGTCTCAGGCAGTGTTTGAGGAGCAGCAGCTCTGGTGCTGCTGTAGCCACCTCTGGAGCGCTGGGTCAGTTGCCAGACGCACACTTTGCTTCCAACCACAGTGCTTAGCATTGCTCCAGAAAAATAACCCTCTGAGAAACAGGATGCTGCAGTCCATCCCAGCCCTGCAGCAGCTCAGTTCACCTCTTTTGTTCAGATCCGTGGCACAGAGAAGGCCCCTGGGAGGGAGCTGCACGTGGCCTATCGGCACGGCGAGCACTACGACAGCGTGCGGCGGCTCAGCGACGACGCCGAGGCCCCGGCCTGCCTCCAGATGGAGGTTGGTTCTGACAGAGGGACCTGGGGAGGGGAATGGTTCTGGCAGAACGACCCGAGGCAGCCTGTGAATGGGAGGGATGAGTGCTGCTGGCTGATTTCTTGCCTCCTTTGCGTTGAGGTGGAGAAGAGTTCTGTCAGTGTCGTTCCGGGCGTAGAAGAGCCCCCTGGGTCATTGTAACTAGTGCTGCCTGCTCTCCAGACAGGCTGGGAAGTGTTGAAGTTGCTGGAAATCAATCCCAAATCTGATGTGGTGATGTAGGCTGTGATTGTGATGAAGCAACTCCATCTAAATGACATAACTCATGCACCTTGCATGCAAAAACCAGAGGGAGGGAGGGAAGAGCTGAAAAGGCAACAGCTGGATGGAAGAGTCCTCTTCAGATCTCACTTTTCATCTTAAGATGCCATAATAATTACATTTATGATGCTGCTAGGTGATTTTTTTGCTGTGTCTGATTAACTGCTGCACTGTTGTGTGATCTGCTGGGCTTTGCTTCTCTTGCAGATGCTCTGCAGAAATGATCTGAATAAGAAGGAAGTAAAGCCTCAGAAAGGTGGCTCTGAAAATGAGGCTGAAGTTGAAATGGAAGAGGCAATCCAAAAAGTGTGTCAGGCAACAGGGTGTTCAGTAAGTATGGAGTGGTCTTTGTGTGCTTGATGTTCTTTACATGAAAGTAGCCTTGGGGAGAATTTGAAAACACCTCCCTTGGACAATTTCAGTACCACAGCCATAGATCAGGCTGCAAATAAATCATAAATCAGCACTTCATCCTATCTCAGCCCTTAAAACACAGATGAAATAGGTACTCTGTGGGGATACCTAATAATTTTGGAAGGTCTCTCTTGCAGTCTCTCAGAACAGTCACTCTGAAAGAAATTCTACAGGAACTTTGAGGATATCTGTAGCTGACCATCCTAAATGACTCAATACTTTGAACCCCAGCTGCTGTCACTGGGTAGCCCCTGTGGTTCCTGCCCATTGCTGCTTGCATGGAACAGAAAGGGCCAAATGCTGAAGCATCATGTTCCTTTTTCTTCATATCTTCAGGATTTAATGATTTCCTCCCCCAACTTTTTGCAAGCTGGAATACAAGCTGATGGAGAAATCCAAAAAGCAGACAGCAACCCCCTGTCCTTGGTGTGGATGTCTGTTAAATGAACATCTGTCCCTGCTTGGAACTCCCTTCAGTGATCTCTCTCCTCTCATGCACAGGATGTTGATTTAGTAAGCCAGATTCTGGAAGTGGAAAACTACAACATAGACTCTGCAATATTTGCCATCTTCCAAATGAATGAAGTGGAAAGAATCAGTAAGTATGAGGAGCTGGGCACCTGGTGCTTCAGCAGAATTGTGTCCAGTGGTGGTGTTCTAGCAGATAAAAGTTCCCTGGGGACAGCAGCAGTTGAAGCTTGCTGCCACTGGAGCCTTGCTGTGCTCAGGAAGGTTATTGGTGAGGGCAGATGCCATCCAGCTTCTGACAACACCAATGTTGGAGAAGTTCTGGTGGAGGGAATTGGCTGATGGAGAGGCAGCTGCTGGGTGGAGTGTGTCTGAGGAGAATGTCTGTTGTTGGTAGGTGCTGAGGAGCAGCTTGAGCCCCAGAGCAAAGATGAAGAGTCGTGTAGCAGAGCTGTGCAGGAGGAAAAGGGCAGCAGGTCAAGGTCCTTTGGAAACCAGAGCTTGCATCAAGGTGAAGAAGAAACCAGCAAAGGACAGGCTGGATCTGGTGAAGAGAATCGAGCTAGAAGGAACCCAAAGGTACATGAAGGGGGTTCAG